CGGGCTGGGGCGGCAGGGGGAACGCCAGCTCCAGCCGCCCCGCGCTGCTCCTCCTCGCGTCCCCTTCGCTTCTTGCTTTCCCCTTAGGTTTTTTACTTAAAGCTGAGCCCAGCTCCGATGTAGCGCTCGAACCTGCCCCCGAGCCAGAGGGGGAGAGCGCCGGAGAAGGCGAAGCGGTCGGTCTCCGCTCCCGTTCCGTTGGGGCCGTCACGTGTTGGTGCCAGTTGCTGGCCCGGCCTTGCCAGCTCAAACGAGTCGAGTCGCCGCTCAGGTATTCTCTCCGAGTTGCGAGGCAGGAGCAGTATTTAAAAAAAACCCAAACAAACCCAAAACGAAACTCTGAATATATTATAGTTTGCATTCAAATTATTTCATGCTCCGCTTTTTTCAGCCTGTGTTTGCGTGAGAAGTAGTGGCTGCTCTTGCACTGGAGGGGCGTACACTCAGCAATGCCTGACGGTCCTCGTCGACAAACCAGCCGGACAGGCGTACCTGCTGGAGCATGCTGTGGGTCTCGCCCCGTCGGCTGGCTCTGTGCAAGGCACGTCAGGGAGCTAGCGTGGGCAGCGTGTTCATCACAGCCCGAGGGTGAGGGCTGCTGGGGTTCTGGAGGGACGCACCCGTTCTGCCGTGTTGGCAGACTTCTGTGAATTTTGGTTTTATTGCTGCGGGGAAGTAGAAAGCGCTGCTGCACCGCTGCTGCCCAGTTGCTCGACTTTCAAACTTTTTGTTCTCTTGCTAATCCACACATCTTCAGGTCAGATGGGTAGGCAAGAATCACCAAGGTCAATGTTTTAAATTGTTTAAGGTGGTTCTTAAGACAATGTGTGCGCTATTTATAAACCAGACAGTGTGTAGTAATATTTGGAAAATGTTGGTCCAAGAAAGAAGCTTCTTCTAACTTGCCAAGGGAGCAGATCAAGTGACATTTTACAAGTTATTAAAGTAGAATACAGCAGCTAAAATGAATGTTTAGCTGTCAATCATCTGCAGAATTACAAAGTGGTTAATATTTAAATAGGACTTATTTTCCCAGTGTTTAATCTCAGGCCTTTGGCTTTCAAGTTCATCTTTAACTTGATAGCTTTGGGACAGAAAACCGAATGGTCCTGTCAGTGATTTAAGATTTAGATATTTACTTAATTCACAGAAAGAGCCTGTTGCCCAAGATACCAGGGTAGTTCACAAACTTCACAAAGAGTAACTGAGTACGCAGGCATCCCCAAGTGGAAACTGACAGTGAGGTTGGAGTTCATAAATAGCAGTTCTCCATTTTAATGAATTAATGGGTTTCCTTCTCAGAACTGAAGATTTCTCACATTCCTGGCAAATCTCTAGCAGGAGGAATACAAGGGCTATTTTTTTTGCTAAGGAATTAGTTGTTTATTAACTTGTCTGGTAAAAACACTCCTCTGTACCTTGATACTAGAGCTTGAGGTTTCCACTTGAAGGAGCCATCAAAGAACAACTCTGAAGAAAGTTGTTCTCATTTTGAGGAAGATGCACACTATGCAAAGGTTATAATTCTGCAGGGAAAGTGAACTGATCTGCATATTCTGTTAGACTGAACGTTTTCGGAGAGCAGCTTGTCAAGAGAAACATGTCTGGTATTTGGCAGTAACAGGGGTTGCAGTCTTCTACCACTGTTAAGGACCAAGGATTGTTTTGCTGACCATCTGCCTCTGATTTATCAATCCAAAATTATCTCAAAGCAGAGATGATTGTAACACTGAGTGGGGTCTCCTCTGCACCCTATTAATAAAGCTTCTCCCTTTTAGAACGCTTAAGAAATTGTCTCTCCTCTTTCCTTGCTTTCTCATACCATCAGGAGAAGCTAACCTCCGCTAAAATGTATGGCTGAAAGCCAGGAGTTTATAATTTCTGATTTTGCCATGTGAAAAGCACTTCTGTATGAGAAAAGCATTAATTGACTCCCCAGCACTCTTGTGTTTCTTATTTAGTATTCTTAAGGTCACTGGATAGTAGCGTCTGAGTGAGAGTGTGTTTGAGTCGCAAGGAGGCGGTATGACCTTTTGCTATTTTTCTTCTTTCCTGTCTATGTAGATATGGTAAGAATGAGGTGGCAAAAGGGAGATGTTAATTTTTCTAGGATTTTTTGCCAACTGGTCAGTGATGGTGTAATCGTAAATGGATAATCAGTGAAGCATCTCTTATAAATGTGCTTGGTATTGATTTTTCTTCTGAAGAGTGGAGGGTCTTGCTTTGCCATTGCAAATGATCAGCAACAGATGAAGCGTTAGGAGTGCAAGTCCAAGCTTGGTTTAAATATTTTTTTATGATTCAGTTGTTTTTATGAAATGGCTGGGGGGGAAAAAAAAAAAAAAAAAAAAAAAAAAAAAAAAAAGTGTCCAGCTGCAGACTGACACCTTGTTAAAGCTGTACTGCTGCTGTCCAGAGGCGGTCTGGCATTTCTTTATTTGCTGGATTAGTGAGGCAACTTGGATGTGAATAGCATCATGCTTTTCTTCAGGAGATATCTCTGTATTTTTCATTTCAGCTAGCTTCGTTGGAGTAGGTCTTGTAGGCACAGGAGAATCTTTAGTCTCCAAGTGCAAGGTTACATGTAAAGTGAAAGTTTGCAGAAGGTAAGCTGCTAAGTTGTGTGACTTTAAAAGCAGTCAGTGGAACCATGTTTTAACATTTGTTTTCCACAATTGTTATATTACAACTCTGTTAGTTCAAGAATTCCAAAAATGAAGATAAGCTATTGTTAACTAACAAGCAAAACATAAATTAATGAATAGTGAAGTAACAGATAATGAATAGCTGATTTTTAATAGGCTGTTGCAATGTGAGAAAGTGGCATTATATGTTTGAAATTAATTGAATATCAACCAAAAAGACAACCTAGTAGTGCTGTCTGTAGCTGAGCCAGTGTTTGTACCAAGTGCATAATAAGGAGAGTTTGTGGGCCATTCAGGTCTGTGCAGAGTCCTGGAGTGGTGAACATTTCACTGCTACTCCCAGCTCCACTGTCACCTTCCTGTTGTTGCAGGGATGTGCTCATGGCCTAACAGCAGAGCTGTGTTAACGCTACGTCCCAGGAACACAGGGTTAGCCATCCCTTATGCCACCTCTTCACCGTGCCAGCATTCCAGTTTCAGTCTCCACAGCCCTTTCTCCTTACAAGATCTAAGGATCACAGCTAAGCCACCTGCTCTTTTCAAGACATTCGTTCTTTAGCCATAGCCATAGAATTCAGCTGCCTCCAGGCGCAGGTAGCGTTCTGCAGACAGCTTGGGGGAAAAACGGATTTCTTTTTCCTTTTCCCTCAAGTTGTTTAAGACCTTTATCCCTTCCCCTCTGCCCCAACTGTGTGCAGGTTTTTGTGATTTTTCTAGTAAAGTG